TTGACACTGTTACTTTTCAGTGTTAAATATTCCATTTTTAGAAAATATAAACAACCCCCTTCACATTAAAGCCATGTTTTTAATGTTGTTTACTAATACCCAAACTAAACCACAGTATTTTAAGAAAGAGACTACAAGGATTATTAAATATAATCTGAGATTTAATTAAAAACAGAGTAATCAAAAGTTATAAGACCATAATATAAGACAGACTTTATATTAGTGTTTTCTCAGTGAGCTATAGGTTAGGAAAAAGTAATGTATCTTTAGTCTATGACACTATTCTGCAATTGAAAATGCTACTTAAACCATAGGACTGGTAGAGAGGATGTGAATTTTGTATTAAAAAAATGAAAATTAGTTGAGGGTTGTGAATGTGAAACCACTTCCAACAAGAAAGGAGAAGGAAAAAAAAGTGAGAAAACCCGACCAACTTGTTTTACAGTCAAAGCTAGTCATAACAAAGGAAAACCTACTATGTTAATACCATAAGCCACATTACATATTCATTTTCTATACTTCAGGGTGTTCTCAGTTCAGATTATGTCTGTATGCAGATGATAAAGAAACAATAAACCACTCCTTAATTTAATAAAATTACGATCTAGTTGACTTAAATGGTAATCAAGGGAGTAAACTACACATGCAGAGAGATTACAGCAAGTGAAACTCAGGTTAAACAAACTGCAGGTACACAAGCAAGGGCTGGAGTACACACAATTGCAAAATTAGGAACTTAGGAAGAAAAGCCATCAAGGGCTGAAATAATGAAACAGAAGCAGAAAAATTCAACCTCCCCGGCTACAGGAATGGCATAATTTGAATTAACACTGTTACATAGGAAAAGGAATCAAGAACTAAAGAGTCTCTCAGATATGACTAGAGAATGTTATCAGAGACAGTTGTAAAAGTAGCACTAGGATGAAAGCAGAAGATCCCAAGTGGATCAGAGTGGGCTAACCTGACACAGTGGTTACAAACACTCCAAGCTGATAGAGAAAGGAGAGAGAAGGTAGGGACATCTGTGTTGACAAATATTAGAACAGTGCTGCTACAACAAAGGGAGGGCCACTACAGCAAACTCTACTTGTTAAAGCCTGATTAATACAGGACGTTATAGAGAGAGACAGGACTAAATGGCAACTACTTATTCTGAAAAATCAGGATGGAACAATCAGTTGCTTTGGCAAAGATAACTCAATAATGGCTTAAAAAAAAGGGAAGGGAAATTTAGAGACATTTTGTGCCTAGAGGCAAGATCAATGCTGAAACTGTGCTGACTTGGCAGGCAATTCGTGGGCTCATCCAATACCGAGCATAAATATAATTTTATATTTCAGCTACAGTATGAGTTGTGTCTGATCAAGTATATAAGGACCAAGCTAAACAATGTCTAACTGCTAGAAAACAATATACAAAAGATGCAGACCTGAGGCCAGTGGCCTCCAGCTGTTGAAATGAAAATACATCACAAAAATGCATTACAGAACTTCAGAAAGTGAGAGGCAGAAGATAAGGAAAGGGCAGCAAGAACAGTCCTGTAGCAGAGGAACAGAAGCAAGTGCAGGTGATGCACATAAAAATCCAGTGTTCCTGGATCTAGATGACATGGGAGAAGTACCAAGGTGGAAGAAGGAGGTACCTGGCTAGTGGCAGCTCACAGGGAGGGTGAAGAGTGCAGAGTGAGGAGGATGTGACTGCAGTAGCAGATGTGGACAAGTGCAAGGTTTACTGTCACACAGGCACGATGCCATCAGTGCACACAGCCAGGCCAGCACTGGTACACACACAGCTACTGAATCCTTCAAGGGAAACTGCTCAGGATACCCATCTCTCCAATTTCCAATGTATCTTATTGAAGGTGCCTCAGCATTGGCTGAAAACATGTTCTGAATGACAATAAATGCAGGTTTTCACAAAGGACTTTTTTTTTTTTACTTGAGGCTTAAGAGGATTTTCTTTATATGTCCAGAAATCCCAACATTTGCCTGGATATTTCTGTCCAGGAAGCCCTGGTAAGGTATTTGATCAATATTCAGGACTCCAACTTAAAGCATATACCTGTATTTGAAAGATTTTTCTAGCAAAAGTACAAAGGGCATTTAATAATATTTGAAACAAAATTATAATATACATATACAGGTATGTATCAAGAGAAGATTGCCACAGCACCCAGTGAAACTCAGCTTAAAAGAAAACAAGGAACCACTAGAACAGGCTACTCTGGCACACTCTTCAAGATGCATTACTTCCTAAGCATGTATCTTTCTCTAGGGATCCAGTCCGAGTTTCTGGATCAACTTCAGGCTGAAGCACTTTAAGGTCTCAAATCGCATCTTCCATCTGATGGATTTTGTACTTTGCTTTTCAAAAAAGCTGTGGACAACCCTGTGCTGTGGTAGTATAACCATCAAACCTCTGGGCTTTACTTACGAAGCGTCCCAGTGGTACAGAACAGTTGGTTTTACAAAGCTCAACATGAAAAATTCAGCATTAGCACAAAGTTCCACAACTTATTCTTGTTTAAAAAACGGAAAGTTTTAAAAATTTTTATTTCCTTGGAGTAAGGATATAATATTTTTCCAGTTATATTCAGTTACTGAAAATCTCTTCCTGATTTGTTTAATGTCTTGCAAGTTGTACTTCTTAGAAGTTATCTGATATCCCAAGTTTAGCTTTAACACGGATATCTGGTCTATCTTAATGTTACCAAACCTGAAAGAGTCAAAAATTGAAATCAATTAAGTACTGGAAATGTTAAAATACAGATGCTTCCCTTAGTGGCACAAAGACAACTGAAGACCAATGTTTTGTTATTAACAGTATCGTTTATAAGACCCTCCTTCTGAAGGTATTCCCAATTAATGAAGTTAATGTTCTACCATCAACCAATGCAAAATAAAATAAATACATGGCACCAAACAAAGGCAGGATACCATTACTTTAGTAATAAAACCTGAAGAGTTTATTAAACTAAAGAAGTGTAGTTCACAAGTCTGCAACAATGGCATTCGTTTTTGTCAAGAGACACTTGCAGTCCTGCAGTGCCGAGCACAGAACACAGCTACTCCAAGCAGTGCAGAGGGAAGCTGAATACACTGGGGAGGCATAACCATGAAGCCCCTGCATGTGAAAATAACAGCAAGGGCCCACTTAAACAACACAGAAATCAGGAAATTCAGAGTTAAGGCTGAAATTGTATCCTTAACTCACCTCACTGTGCCTAGGTATCCTAGCTCAAAGGGTATGTAAGATCATCCAGAGTTCTGTGGCCTCAAATAGAGGACCAAATCATACCTAGGCATAACAGGGAGGCCAAATTTAACATGAGTGCACATAAAAGTGACCATTAAAAAACACCTTTAATATGCATGCATACCAGACAGACTTTTAAATTCAACCCCCAAACATAATCCTGATTTAACTCCGAACAAGATCTAGTTGTCATTTGGAATTCAACTACAACATCACTATGAAAGTGGAAATGAGTAAGATGTGAGCATGCACAAGCTTCTTAGCAAAACTGTGTTTCCTAATGCAATTTCAAAGATGTTTTCCTGGACACAGTTTGCGAGCTGTAGCCTTTTACATCTAACTGAAGTTCCCCCCAGTTAAACAACTTTTAAGATGGAACATTTAATTGATGTTGAATAGAAACAGAGCTATGCTGTAATAACATCAGTTATTTCCCATACTCAACTATTGTTACATATTAACAGTAACTTTGTCTTGCTCATACAGGATTCAGGATCATATTTTAAAACATGTCTGCAGTAAAACGAATTGTACCAAAAATCTTCAGATGATAATATTTAAAAGAAGAAAATGTATGGGAAAGGAAAGAGATACAAAGACTTCCTCAGATTTTTAAGGCTCCTTTGTCATGTCAGTTTTGAAGACACAGATCAACAGAGAAATAACCTTAAATGTCAAAAATTTTCCTAACAAATCTATTTGTTCTGGGATTCCAGCCTACAAATGAACATATTGTTATTTTACATCATCATTTTTGTAATGAAGAAAAAAGTCTTCTTGAAAGACCTCAAAGCCACCACAAAATTTGGCTTAAAACATACACAGAGAAAATAAAAAAAAGACATGTGAGCCCAGTTGAATGATGGCTGGGAGGACTTGCTCTTTCACAATAAAAATATTCAATATTAATGCTTATCTTCCTTGTTGTTCCTGGGTGACTCAGAAGGATTCACAGACTATGGTCTCAAGAAACGCAACCACCTCAGCACTACCATAGAAAAACTCCCGTTCTCTCTCACTTACCTGTTACTGGCTTTGTCCTGTCCAGACTCACTGGACAAATACATCTCACAATACAGCAGGAGGACCAGCCCAGAAAATATGCACAGAGCATCTACAGAAAACTGCTGGCTGATGAGCTGCAGTGGCTCACACAAGTTCAGTGAGCAGCTGAGCCATTGCGAGAGAAGAACAGAACCACGGCATGGAAAGGAGACAGGCTGAGAGGACCAAGGCATCCTGTTCTCAACATCATAAGATCACACAGTTGCTCAAGAAATCTCTACAAGTCCTCAAAACATTGCTTGTCAAGTTTCATCTCTAACCAAGGCTAACTTTCTTCGATGTGAAAGTCACCAGAGCCAAACTGGTATTACAGCTCCCTCCAAAACATCCAAAGCAGTTTTTTTCACTCATCTGTTGACTTTTAATACTAATTTCCTCACAGCTATTTCACTAGCTGTTCAGCCACAATGTATCAGTCCAGACAAAGCTGAATTGATATAAACCACAAGCATATGTATGTTTACAAGAAAAATGTCCTGATTTTGCTAAGCCACTGCACTTGACTGACAGACAACACTAAAACACGACAAAGATACTAACTTCAAACTTATTGCAAATTTCTTTTGAAACATCTATTCCATCCCATCAAGTGGTGTAATCAGGTACTACTATTTTAAGAGTCAACATTTCTAGAAATTGCTTTCCTGCTAAAATTAAGAGTCACTCCACCACACCCTCCTTAAAGGCAGGTGGTGAAGGAAGCAGAAGATTACAAAGTTCCTACACCTTCACAAAGAGGATTCAGGCTTAAGAAAACATTAAAATATGAATGTTTCAAAGAAAGCTACAAAATAAAGAAGACTTTTCACTGTTAGTCTTTAACTTTGTGGGTTTTGTTCTCAAGTCTACCATTATCCAAATTTTTTAATGTAAATTCTGCAATCTCAAAGCTCAAGTAAGTTCCTCTTAACTTAGTGTCAAGCTTCAAAAAGGGAAGTGAAGGGGGGGAAGGCAAAAGAAGCAGAGCAAGCAGACAAATGCTTTGAAAGTTTTCAGCATTCACAAGAACAGCAACTCTGGCAGACCCTCAGCTGCCAAAAGGAAACAAGATGAAGTCCCTTGAGTGAGGGAAAATTTACCTTCATCTTGAAAAAAAGAACAAACAACCCAAACCAAAACCCAAACCCAAAAACCTGTCTCTAGCTTCATATCAGAGTAATTTCCTCCTACCATGTAACTACCTTTTGAGAGTTATATCAAGGATTTTCCTGAGCTTCTTTGCATTATGGCTATTCTGCAGCCACAGCCTATGATCACCAGCAGTATGTTTGATTAGGTAGAAGTCACAACTTAAACCACTGCCTATCAGAGCTATCAGACTACAAAGACATTTGACAAATCACTGCTGATCATTGTATCATAAAAATAGTGGGCAGTGCTTGGCAGGATTCAAGAGCTGCAGCAGGGGAACAATGAAGAAAATCAGTATTAAAAAAGACCAAAGAATGAAGTCATCCAGAATAGTATGAAATAGTAAGGTGATTATAAAATACAACAGAAGCACAGGTACAGAGTGGCCAGGACAGCTATTTCCACTGTTTTCCATATTTCTATACTTTTAGCTGCAGGTGTGTGGAGACTTTTTATATCCTGAAATTTACATACAAAACACTTCTGCATTTGTGGTGGGAAATAAAACAACAAAAAACCCCAACCAGAGGAAAAAACTCTCCAGCAACTAGACTATGTACAGTCTTCATAGAAAGCCTAATATTTTGCCTTTTGGTATGAATGCTTTGTAATTAACACACATAGGATTACATTTCCTGTTTAGACTTACACTTATCACTGTTTCATAAGCAGGTCTTGCAAAAGATCTAAAAACATTTATTAAATACTCCTGCTTTCATTCTGGTTACTTTCTCTTGCTTTTCTTGCTTGCAAGCAACACACACAGAGCAGTCTGTCAATGCTAACATAAAATGTCAGTACTATTTGGTATCTAATAAAATACAATAGCTTACATCAGCAAAACCAATTTTTCCTGTAATTTCAAATTTAAACTCACCTTTCTGATTTAAATACTTAAAACTTGCATGCCAAAACGGTCTGCAAACCCTTAAGGAAAGCATTATCCTAGAGCTATACTTCCCCAGCTGCAGAGCATTTGAGAAACATAAGAAATAAAAACTGGGCCAAAATAAACATTTCTTCCAAGAAGTTGTTGAAAGTGGTTTCAAAAAAATAATTTGCTCATTCTGCTGAGAACATGTACCAAATCTTTATTTACTGCACAGAAGAGTGAGTTAATCTGTGGGCTGACAAATAAATACGAGCTTTACGCTTCCATGGCTGGTATTTTTGACTTAACATATCAAACTGATTTGCTTTGTTAATCACCTTTCAATACACAGTTCTTACTCTCAGAATTTGTTGAAGTCATTTCACCTTCTAAAGTGTTAATTTTTGTGTTCATATTAACACAAAGGTGGCTTATTTTTCAGTATTAAAAGCTATGATTCATGACTAATTTAAGAAAATTACTGAACTTGCCATACCTGCTTAGCAAAAAATATTGTATCCAGTCTGGAATCCTGAACAACAGAACCTGCTGGTTCCTCTCCAGGCTGCCACTTGAAGAGAAAAATTAGCCCATGTACCGGCCTGAAAAACAAAATTGATAGAAAAAAGATCACCTGTACTGATGAAACGTATTGAATCCAGAAGTCTATACTGTAATTTAAGTGTTTGCTGGTATGGTAATTCTGTTCACTCTTTATAAACAGAGGGAACTTCCACTGAAATGTTCAGATGTGGTCTTTTAATTGGGCAGAAGACAATTCAGGCTTCCTTCTGTATATGTTAAACAAACCCAATTTAAATTAGCATTCAGCTTGTAACTTACTTAAGTCAGGGCCAGTTTTCCTGACTATTACAGTCACACAACTCCCATTTGAATTGGTTAGTGATAAATAGCTGTCAAAACATTTGTCAATCACATACAAGAGCAGGAACTAAAGTTTTGGTAATCCTTCTAGACACAGATGAAACATTCAAAGAGGAGCTCTCATGAAACTTCCAGTTTTCTACTAAAAACGCATCATGCTTTTCAGACTGCAACAATTGCTGCATCTTCTGAGAGGTTAATTATGCAAGTGTGGGGTATCCACGTGGGATACAAGAGTATGGTCCAAGTTAGATGACATTTTCCTCTTATAATCTTGTATATTAATATGGGTAACAATGCATCATGGACAAAATGGTAAAATAATTAATGTTGCCTAATGAGAGCAGAACTGTTCCATGTGACACCAGTCGTTCTCAGCTATAACAAGGCTATTTGCCTTCACATACACATGGAAGCGGCTCTGCAGGAAAAACGAGTTACAGAGGTACGTAAGTACAGTAAAGTAATTTATTTTAGACAACAGATGCAATGTCGTTATGTGAGGAAGTAAGGAAAATAAAAGCAAAGAACAGAAATTTGTCACAGAATTTGCTAGAAGATATAATGCAAGCTAATGGCAAAATCATTAGAAATCTATTTCCACATTCTAGCCGCTATTAGGACCTCTCTCAAAACCTGGCAAAGCTAGATTAAGGATCAAGGCATTAATAAAAAGCAATTTAACTGTCAGGTATTCCATTAAATCAAAGTCCTAATAAACTTCTGTGGAAACTGAAGGAAAAAACACAAATTCAAAAAGCCCCAAACAAAAAAGCCACCAAAAGCACACCTGAGTTTAGTACACATTCTCTCGGTGACTTCAGACAAATGTAAATAGAAAACATGTGCCTTACTTCAGTTTTTCAAAGTTCTCTGGTTCCAAACTCCATATTTCTTCAACTTGTGCTCCTCTACAGCCTGAAACAAGGAAAAATACAGGTTTCTTCAATTAACCCATTTAAAAGGGATGCAGCCACCAAACAAAGACATATGAAAGAAAATACATAAAGACATATGAAACACTTACAACTTATATGTCCAGGTTATGGATAAGTCTATCTATGGGCTTTGCATTTAAGAAAGAAGTAGAGGAGATTAAAATGTCTTTGGTCACCTCGTGTCCTCCACTCAACTGAAAACAACACTGTTTTCAAAGACATTATCAGCAAGTGCAAAGCAGAACTTAAAATATTTATCTCCAGGAAAAGACCCATGGTAGTAGACTGAAAATCCTGTAAATGATACACTCAAGCAAGACATTTGCATAAGACAAAGCCCAAAAGGTTCAATACTTAACATGTGGAAGATTAATCTATAGGTTAAATAAAAACAGAAAAGGAGAAGCATGCCTGGACTTGTGAGAAAAAGACAGGACAGAAACTATGAATCAACATAATGCAGCATAAATACATTTTGCTTCTTTGGCCAAACCCCGTGTAGACTTAGCTGTCACTATAACCATAAACTCACAGTATCACCAAAGACTTTAAATGCAATTCAACATAAAATTTAATATTCTAGAAGCCCAAGCAGCCTCTTGCAGACTGCCCAGCCCAACGCCAAGGCCCACAGCTCAGCCCTGGTGGGCTTGTTCTCCCCTTCTTCCAGGCAACTGGCAACAAAGCGAGAGGACAGTCTTAAGCTGCACCAGGGGAGGTTTAGGTTGGACATTAGGACGAATTTATTCACAGAAAGAGTGCTTAGATATTGGAATGGACTGCCGTGGGAGGTGGAGGATTCACCGTCCCTGGCGGTGTTTAAGGAAAGATTGGACGCGGCACTCAGCGCCATGGTCTGGTTCACAGAGCGGTGCTCGGTCACAGGCTGGACTCAATGACCGCAGAGGTCTTTTCAAACCTAACTGATTCGGTGACTCCACGCGGCGCGTCCTCACCGCGCTCCCCGCCAGCAGCACAACACGTGCCGTGGGCGAGGGCCCCGTGGGCGAGGGCCGGGCGCCGCCGCACAGCCCGTGCTGGGCCCGGGGGCTCCGCCGCCCGCGGGCGCTGCCAGGGACGGGACGGCGGCCGGAGGTCACAAGAGACGGCTCGTCCCCACCCGCGCCGGGAGCGCTCCGGCCCCGCTGCAGCTTCCGGGCCGAGCCCCGCGCTCCCGCTCGGCCGGAGCCCCGCACCTCTCGCCGGGGCACCGCTGCCGCACCGACCCGCACGGGAACAGCCCCGCAAAGCCCCCGCCGCCCCCTCACCGAAGCCCTTGATGAGTTCGGTGAAGACGCCCGGGTCGCTCTCCATGAGGCACCACTCGCCGGCGCTGCTGCCCCCGGACATGGCGGCTCCGCCGCCGCTCAGGCCGCGCTGCCGCCCCGCGCCGCTCCCTTCCCTTCCCGGCAGGACCCGCGCCGGGCAGCGCCATGGAGAGGCGGGGCGGCCGCAGGAAGCGGCGCCCGCGACTGGATCCGGGGCAGCCGCCGGCGGCTCCGGCACCGCCCCGGCCGCGGGAGGACCGCGCCACGCCCCGCGGGGCCGCCGCGGGGCGGCTGCGGGGAGGGCGAAAGGCGGAGGGTGCGGGACCCGCGTACGCCCCGGCGGGGAGCGGGGCCGGCGCTGAGCGCGGCTCCATCCGGGCACCGCGCGGGGGGCGCGGCCCCATCCGGGTCCCGGCGATGCTGTCGGGGCGCGGCGGGCGGGGCCGG